ACACACAGACTCAATAAATGAAACAAAAAGATGTGATCATGAGGGCCATTGCAGTTGTTACTTTTGCAGTTTCCTGTGAACCTATAACTATAATATATATATATATATATATTAATATATATATTTAAAGGAAAATAGTAGTCTAAGTAAAATGCAAGAGGAGAGGCAGCTTTTCCGAAGAACTTTCGGTTACTCATCTCGGTTTCCCTGGGAGTTGTCGCATTCTTAACGACCTGTTCCCCTTCCTTTCTCTCAGATACACAATGAACCCTTCTGAGCAGATTTCAGGTGAGTGGGAACTGCCTTAGACCACTGTAGATACAAGCTGCATAAAGTAATTCAAAAGAACATCAGCGTAGGCTTTCCAAATTTACACTGAATGTTAGTATTTTAGCCCATTCCTTTTATAGTCCAGAGTATTGTTTGGAATCCTGTGACATCTCAGTGACATACAAAGGGAGTCTGGGCTTGAGTGTTCATTTCCTTTTTCAATTTTTTTGTGGGTTTTTTTTGGTGTGTATGTGATGTTGCTGTTGTTATTGTTTAAGATCGAGTCTCTTTATGCTACCCTGGTTGTACTGGAACTCCCTATATAGACCAGTCTGGCCTCGAACTCTCTGCCTCCCTTTGATGGCATTAAAGGCACGCGCAGCCCACACCCGACTTGAGTGTTTATTTCTTAAGAATGTTCTTTCCTGAGGTCACATATTTCCTAAGAATATTCCTTCCTGGGGTCACAGGACGTGGTCAACTCAGTAAATGTGACCTTGCCATACAATTTTGTCCTTCCGTATTAGATTTTTTCTGGTTGTCCAAATGTGTCCAGCCGGGATCCACGGTGGTGCCAGCGTGTACCTGGCTACCAGACTTAGGACAGCCTTAAACTCAGTAGATCTGGCTCTGTTGTCAATTTCTCTTGTTATTTACACAATTAGGGTAGGTGGCAGGGACCTGCCTGCTCAGCTCGGTGGACCAGGGTGCTTTGACAGCCTCTTGAGAGCTACACTCAGGTCTTCCACATCGCTATTACAGTAAGGGTTCGGGGTTTGTATCCAGACTGCAGAAAGGGCTTGAGTGGCTTGTGGGGTGGGGGGGGGGGACCAGGGAAAGCTAAGAGCGCAACAAGGAAAGACTCTGGAGCCTACCAGGCGCAGGACTGGCCTCTTCGCGGTCACCTGGAGCCCGTGGCAGCCAATCGGGGCGCAGTCATGTTCCTGTGGCCAATGGGCAGGCTGCGCGGCTCTCCCCAAGGCTATAAGTGCGCCCGGCTGGGGTAAAGCAAAGCGGAGCACAGCAGAGTCGGGATGCTCAGAACGGTGGAGCCTCGAGATGCGCGGGTGGAGTCGGGTGGTCGCAGTCCCTGGGCAGCACCACCCTCGCAGTCCAAGCGGCTCACCTCCTTCCTCATCCAGGACATCCTGCGGGACCGCGCGGAGCGGCGCGGGGGACACGCGAGTAGCCCGCAGTACCAGCGCCAACCAGACAGGAGAAGGGAACCTGCGCCAGAGCCGGAGGAAGCAGGAGGTCGCGGCGTGGCTCTAGGGGACCCGCCAAATATCCGACCCAGCCCCGCAGAGACCCCGGCTGAACCCGAGACAGGTAAGCGGAATAGACTTGGAGGCGGGCGTGCTGCGCTGGAGTAGACTGCTCCCACGTTGGTGGTCCCGAGCTCTGAATGCAGGCTTATGGGGCCCATGGCCACAGGCGGGACTTCACCCTCCTCGGCACCAAACCACCTTTAGCATCAACCTTAAGGGCCGCTAACAACTTTGCCATCGGCTTGACTCTTTTTCCAGCGACTCCAGCCAGTGGCAACTAGAACTAACAACAACAACAAAAACATTAACATTAATAAATCAAGCCCATCCCCAGGCTCCCTTTGCGTCTCCATTTCACGAGCCATAAAATTATGAATGTCCCTTTAGGTCTTTAGAATAATGTCGAGTCGCCTTTTGTCCCTCCAACCCCCCCCCCCCATCAGTTCTCATGCAACTAAGCCGCAGTTACAGTAAGGGGATTGGGTTTGGGAGGAAGATGAACTGGCTTATCCCCACAAGCCTTAGTTAGTCCCCGTGATGCCTCGCTTTCCCTGTTCCTGTCTCCCACCTCTCTTTGCTACACACATTCAGGATCCCGGTTTCAATGACGTAACATGGCAGAAAGTTTAACTGTGAAACACTAAGACCTAAGCTTAGTTCACACCGATTATTAGAAACGAATACATAGTATAAAAACCTACTTACTTCTCCTTCGGGGTAGTTCTTTAGTCGGGCAAGAAAAAATAAAATAAAATGTATCCAAGATGACAGTGGGCTGTTTGTTTGGCGGCTGAAAGCAGAACTGAATTCTGGGCTAACATGTAACTTTGTTCATTCTCTCCTTCTCTGTTCTTCTCCAGATGGGCATTTTGAGACCTATCTGTTGGACTGTGAACACACTCCAGGCGACTTATCAAGCACCCCCCAGGGCCCCAAGCAGCCTCAGAAGCGCTCCAGGGCTGCCTTCTCTCACACTCAGGTGATCGAGCTGGAGAGGAAGTTCAGCCATCAGAAGTACCTGTCTGCCCCTGAAAGGGCTCACCTGGCCAAGAACCTCAAGCTCACCGAAACCCAAGTGAAAATATGGTTCCAGAACAGACGCTATAAGACGAAGCGAAAGCAGCTCTCCGAAGACCTGGGAGTCTTGGAGAAGACCTCGCCTTTGTCTCTGCCAGCCCTGAAAGAGGACAGCCTGTCCAGGGCCTCCTTGGTTTCCATGTACACCAGCTACCCCTATTACCCGTACCTTTATTGTCTGGGCAGCTGGCGTCCAACTTTCTGGTAACAGTTCAGACGACAAGTTCATAGATCAGAAACTGCCTTCCCTAGGGGTCTCTGGGGAAAACAAAAAACAAAAAAACACCAGAATGGCTGAGGTCAAGGAGTCGGGAGCAAGAAGTGTGCAGACCCAAACCGGTTGGGGGTTCCCAGGCAATATTCCAGTTCTTCTCTGGTGGGCCAGTGAAAGACCTGGGGCAGTGGCTATTTTTAGTATCTAGTCACAGTTTCAAGTGTTCTGTAGGTCACCGCTCTCTGCTCCCTGTTTGGAGAGAGCCAGACAAGTTTGTCCGTTTCTAGAACTTAGAGTGACTTTGGATGCAACGGCTACATCGGATCCTAAGAAAAGTCTTTTGCTGCAAACACCATCCTCTCCCATAACTGTGCATCATGGAAGGGCCAAGCAAAAGGGCGAAGGCCCCCTTAGATGAGGATGTCCTCTTGAATTAAACTCGGGTTAAAAAGTCTCTTGTTGGCCTTGGACAATGACCAGGGTTTCTCTCTGCCCTTGTAAAAGTGAGGGTAAATGGAAAATTTGAAGAAGTAAAAACAGACCTGAGTGATTGAGGCAGGTCGGCCTGCGACACAAGGGGGGTGGGAGATGGGACTTTTAATACACACACACACACACCCATTAGCAGTAGGTACACCACTTCAAGGATTTACAGGGCGGCCAGAGTGGAGCAGGGTACACACAGTGAGGGGTTTCAGACAAGCTGTGTAAACAGTTTGCCTCCAGGGGTGGGCCTCAAAACAGGCTCTACCTGTCCAAGACAAGGGCCTAAGGGCTTTCCCCACTCCAGATGAGCGCCTCAGTTGTGACTTGGGATGGCCTCTGCCCATCCTTTCTGCCTTCACAGACGAACTTGAGTCAGGAGATGAACTCACACTTCCTTAGGACAGAGGTGCCGAATTTATAACAAAGGGCCTTCCTTTTCTTTTTTTTCCATTTCTTTTCTTTTTCCCCTCTCTCTTCCCTACAAGACATCTCAGTTCAGGCTTTTAATCTGTACATACCTAACTTATTTAGCTGAAGATCTGCGCCGCCCCCCTCCTCAAGTTTTAGCTTTCCTGGTTTAAAAAAAAAAACTAACTACAAACAGATCATAAATTGACCAAAAAAGTAATTAAAAAGCAACAAACTATCAGCTCTTGCTTCTTTCCTTTGAAAACCCTCACTATGGAATCCCTGTTTAAAGAGGTGAGAGCTGACAGTCAGAGCAGCTTCCACTGGGCTTCCGATGGCTGTGTTCAGAAGCTCACAGCCTTGGGGTCCTGGGGTCCCCAGCGGCAGAGAAGGTTAAGTCCAAAACGAAGGGCTGGTATGATAAAGGGGTCTAGGAAAGATGCAGGGGTCCTGGGTAGGGAGTGGCTGTCAGCCCAGGCCAACCAGCAAACGGGAAGGAGGGCAGGAGGGATATGTCTTCCAAGTGCACCGTCCCTGCGGCCTCCATGCCCAGATAAACTGTGGCAAAGCTTGGAGAACTGAGTTCGACGACTCACCTAAAACGCTAAAGAGTGGAAAAGAGAAAAGCTTGCCTTTCCATTTCCATCCTGTTCGCTCAGGTAACCTGCTAGATGGGAGATTCGGGAGGTGGGGGCACAGCTATTACAAGTGAGGCTTTCTGGGGCCAGGAAATCCCTTTATCCCGCCACTCAATTCTGTGCCGTGAGAAATCTTTTTAATTTCCTCCTCCTAAATGGGCCAATTTACTGCTGGTGGCAAAACTGCCAAAGGGAGTTGATAGAAAGTTGGCCGCTTGCACCCCATTCTTTCTTACAGCCCAGGCCGCAGATTCCCTGTTAAATAAGTATTGTTTGCGGCCACTTTCTGCTGACCACTGGGGCAGCGCTAGACCACACAAAAGGCAGAGGAGGCCAATTCACTTCTCCTTTTTATCCATCTTTTGAAGCTCATCAATTAGTGCTGCTTTCTCTCTCCTCTCCTTCTGAATTGAATCCTTTTCCGCACGCACTTCACCTAGGATTAAACGACTATAGTGCATTGTGTGTGGCAAAAAAAAAAAAAAAAAATGGAAGGAAGAAAAGGTATATGTTTAAAATTATTTTATCTCCATCTTGCTTCCTCCCCACTGGAACTAGTCATCACCCAGCCCTGAACTGGCAGGAAATATTTGACATGGAATCTGTTGTCTCTGTTGTCTCGACCCTCTGAATGGGATGGTGCCTTGGACCATGTCACCGGGGCAACGGATCTCCATCCTGTTTCATAAGTCAGTTAGCTAACTCCACTCTGATCTGCAGCAGACCAGTTTGTGAACTGAAGTCTGGTAAAGTACTCTAACCAAACTTTATTTTTCTATGTATTTTTTTTCGACAGATGAGTGTTTTTAAAATAAAGCCTCTATGTTTTTATTAGACACCTGCGTGTGGTTTTCAGATTCTTTCAAACTGCTTCCTTATCCGTGCACTTCCTAGGGACCATGTTCTCATAGCCCTTTAGGCTAGCCTGACAAGTCCATGGGCCACCAAATCAATCAAAGTGACAATGAGGGCTAAGGTAGCCAATGAGGGCTATTCTTTCAGTAGTGGCCTCTCCTCCTGTACTGGTAAATCAAAGGGAGGGAAAGACTTCACTACCCGAGCCGAATAATCACCCTGCATTGGTGTTGCTGTACTCAAAAGGTGGAGGCAGGGGGATCAAAAGTTCAAAGCCATTTTTTGACTGCATAGGAAGTTTGAGGCCGACCTACTACGTGAAATCCTGTCTCAAAAGAAAAAAAAAAATCTCAAAACTAAAAATACGTAGGTTTGTGTAAATGAAGACTTTTCATTTATTTAGTGACCCCAAGGGAACAGGGTGACCACAGCAATTTTCAAAAAGTCCCTTTTCCTGTCTTCCCTGCCTTCTCACTCCTAAACTTGTTCCCTGTGCCTCAAGTCCTATGAACTTCTTGTAAGTGACTGAAACAGAATCCCAGCTATGCCACCACGAAGGCACGCAGTCTCTGAATGGGACAGCAAGTGGTGAAGGTAAGTTCTATCTCTGCGCTAACACACGTAAACAGCACACCCCATCCCCCTGCGCATCAGCCTTCCTGAAGGCCCACAGAGTACCTGCTGGGCCTGACAGCCTGTGAGAGGCAGGCAGTGGTCTCCTCCCTCCTCCAAGGAAATACAAGCTTAAGGGGGAAGACGGTTACTTTAGGTAAAACATATCGTAATTTCAAAGTGTGCCCTAATCCTTTAAGTGCATTGTACACACAGGTGGGGCTTCTTGTAGCAGGCACGCATCGTGCGGTTTAATTTGCACAAATCTATAGCTACCCTCCCATCCCATAGAAGGCCATTAGCTCTCCCATTACAAAGCCTCTTGCAGCAAATTAACAGATGTCCTCTTTTTTTTTTTTAAAAAGTAAACCATTTAAAAGTAACTAATACAGGAAATTAAACACACTCTCCCATCTTTAAAGAAAGTCCCCTCTGCCTCCTCTTTTTTTTTTTTTGTCCTGTTTCCAACTTTCGCTCATATCTCTACTAATCTCACAGCCCTCTTCTCCCCAGCGGCTCCCCTTGGCATGCCACATATCCACGCTATTTGAAACACATCATCAACCTGCCTTTCTGTTTACTTCCTGTGGAAGTTTCTAGAGCTGCAGAGTTTTGATGCTTCAGATGCTGCTGGCTCTCCTGAGGCCTCCCTTGGAGGTCTTTTGCGGCCGTAAGGTCAAATATGTGTCAGAGACCTCTATCCAACAACATTTATTTTCCTTTTAACCATTCAAGTCGCGTCATTTTTTCTAGGATGATATTAACACCACACCCAGCAAAGCTACCCTAGGAGGAGCAGCATCCACAAAGAGAAGGTCACCTAGCTGAGGTGTCCTGACAACGAGCCCCGTGGTGGAGAGTTGTTCACGTGAACTTTGAGGATCTTGGCAGGTGCACCTGGAAGGCAGCGAGACAGGCAGAGCGGAGGGGAGCCACTCTAACCAGCATTCCAACGCCACTCTAGGAAAGCCAACGGGCCTCCTTTTGAGGAAAGTGGGATGGGCCATTTGACCTCAGCACCAGCTGTGTCCTGAAGGCGGGTGGAACCCTGAGCAATGTGGTTTCTTTGGGAATAGAGCGATAGCCACTAAGTGACCCAGCAGCCAATCACTGCCATCTGAACGATTATTTCCTCAGCAGCTTGTCAGGAGTACATCAGCTCCATCTGGGGAGACACGTTGTACACCCTGGTACCCACTGTGAGTCACGGGATTCTTTTTCTGGTCACCCTGAGGGCCACAGTCAGTGACAATCTTCACACTAGCAAACTTGGCGTCAGGTGGGTCAGACCGAGCTTGGAGTGAATGATGGCTTCTGCGCTCAGACATCCAGACTCTGTTCCTCCCATAGCCATCAGGAACATGTCACCAAAGCATGTTTTTCAATGCCAAGAGTAATTTACTGCTCAAGAGAAAGGGCACAAGCCAGAGTCCTGGGACAGAAATGACTCCTAGTTTAGCCATATACTTGGCTTCCCTGAGGACTTTCCCAGACGGAGTAGCTCATGAGAAGGTTGATTCATTGTCTCCAAGGGTCTCTGGAGAGTCTCCAGGTGTATCCTGGACTGTGTCCCGAGTTTGTGCTGGATGAGATGGGAGGCTGAAAGCACAGGGTTTAGACCCAGTCAATCAATTTCCAGGATAATTCCCTTCAGCTGGACAGCCCCCACCTGTTTCTATTGGATTCAATAATAGGACAACCCTGCCTGAGGAGCTGATGAGTTAAAAGGAAAGACACAGCCAGAAGTCCCACCTGTTCCGTGAGCAGCTATAAGATACTCGCTGTGGTTTGGATACGGTATGCCCCACAGGCTCCCAAGTTCATGTGTGAGAAGCTGGGTCCCTGATGTTCCAGGTTTGAAGAGACAGATTCACTAAAAGGTGGAGTGCAGGGCCAGCAAGATGGTTGAGAAGGTAAAGGTACCTACCACCATGTCTGATGACTTGAGTTTAGTTGGATGCCTGGAACCCCCATGGTGAAGAGAACCAACTCCTGAGAGTTGTTTTCTGACCTCTGCAATGCTTGCATTTGAACACACACAGATAGATAGATAGATAGATAGATAGATAGATAGATAGATAGATAGAAAGATAGAGTGTAACAGAGTTTTTTTTTTAAGAGATTGGGTGCAGTAGGAGGTAACTAGGTCATAAAAGCTCATGAATTATTACTGTCTTGTGGGAGCGGGTCATGGGAGTGGATTAGTTCCCAAGAGAATGGGTTGTCAAAAAAGAGCGACCCTAACCTTTCTCTTGTTTCCTGCTTCCTATTTATCCATGGAACAGCTCACACATACGTGTTCCTGCCACGCAATGAATCCCTCAGTAGAAACCAAGACTGGCTTCATATTCTTGGGATCCCAAAACTATGGAATGAAATAACCCTTCTTCCTTTATAAAGTGTCCAGCCTCTGGTACTTCACTGAAGCAACAACAGCAATTCAGGACATACGTGC